ATGGGGGTGGGAGGACAGAGAAGGAGATTTAGCTCTTACTTCAAAGAATATTCTAAAACACATAGGGCAAAATGGCAATATATGTTAAGTCTAGCTGGTGTACACACGAATGTCTTATATCAATGCTTCCCAATCGTTTTTACTTCATGGCACACATAGAAAATGAAAGGTTTATGATACATGAGTGAACAGATGAGGCTGCCGGAAGTGTAATGCACCTGGCCCAGGGGAGCCAGCAGCCTCAGGACACTCCTTGCCACCACCATGGACTGAGGGACTCATAGTACCCCAGCACACCCATCACCCATTTGCCACTCCCCAGGGTCCCTCTGCACACAGTTGGGAAGCTCTGCTTTGTATCTTTTTTTTTTTTTTTTACAATTTTTCAATATGTTCGAGCGCTTGGAAAGCTGATCAGGAAAGTCAGCAGAGTCCTCAGCAGAAGATTCCCAACAAAAGAGGTTAGGCAGTAAATAGGTGACATTAAGATTTCTTCCCCTGCAGGATAAAGGTAGAGCTGTGTGGTTTGGGCTCCTTCAAGCCTTCACAGCAGAAGCAGTGGAGTTTCAGCAGGACTGAGTCTATGCAGAAGCAAGTGCCATGGTGATGTGTGACAGTGCAGAGGGCCACAGGCAGAGAAGCCAGAGTGGGGCCTGGGAGTGTTTTGCGGTTATGGGGACCATCACGAGACTCCCAAGCCCTGGACGCAAAGACATGGTGCAGGCTCTGCTGCCTTAACACATACTTAGCTAGTTTCTTAAATGGGGCTTATTTCCCATGCACAGACATAAGGTGGTACATCACGCTCAAGGCAGAGAAATTTGAGTATACTGACTACTTACTTTTGGAGGCACTAAATACTGGCTCACTCATTTCAGACCTCAGAAGCCATTCCATGATATCGTTGCTCACGACCATTTTTTCTCCATTCTCATCTGTCCCCTGTCCTTACAACATAGATGAGTGATAAGGGCTATGCATGTAAGGATCGCATCCTCTAGAAGAGGAAATGGGTACGTAAGAAAAAAAATATGCAGATATGTTTTTTGCAAAACACAGGGAAATAAAATGTGCCCCAAATAAGTGACAGCACGGAGGAGAGTGTGGAGCAGGTGGTCTTGGAGAAGACTCTCCTAAGCAGGGGAGGCACCGGGTGCTGGTGAAGTGGGACCAGAGAGAAAAAATCAGAATAATGCAACAGATATGGCAACACTTCTCAAACAAATCTGCACTGCCAGTTATTATTTCTTTCAATATTTTCAGTGAGATTAAATGCTTGATTCATAAATTACCTTCTTCAATACAAACCTGTAGCCCAACTCTGCCCTGAGCAGTCAGTCAACCATGATGGGTTTAGAAAATGTTAATAGTGCACTAATTTTTACAACCATATCAGATTTATTAATGCCAAGAAGAGGAGAACGATAAACAAGGAGTCCTCCTTGTATATGAACCATCACAAAAAGATAAACGTAATCCAATTAAGAGCATGCATTCACTTTTCTTATTTCGGACATATGGAAATACGTTTCTCTTCCATACCAAGGAATATAAAGTCAAATTTGACTTCTCCTGTAACTTAAGGTTAGTTTTATTGCATTTTATCTTTCAGAAACAAGGGTGTTTGTAAATGCTTTCAGAAAAAATATTTGTCAGTTATAACTGCCTGGTTATTTCTTTGTCCCCCCCATACCTACCTTCAAAAGAGTAGTGTTAAACATCAGGATGGGCAAAGCAGTTATGAGAGATGATGTTTGCTTTAAATAGGATAGGGGTGGGGCAGAAGCCCATAGGAGTAGAGATTCTATACCTTAATATGATTTATAAATTAGGCATGGATTGGTTCATCAAAGACATGAAGACAGCTTGATCTATGAATCTTTTTAGAAGGAGGAAAATAAAACCCTGAGAAAATAAGAAAGTAAGAGACATTTCAGAAGAATAAGAAAGTCTCGTTTGAAAGTTTCAGTGAATTCAATAAAACTGTGATGTCCCCCAACTCCTACAATTTCTGAAGCAAATAGCAGAAATATACTGGAAGAAAGTGCTAAGTCAGATGCCTGCAGCAGTGGAATGTGGAGTTTTTACATTACTTGGTAAAATTATGATATAATATGTTTAAAGAGCTTCTGTGCATTTGGATCTTTTTCTATTTGCTTTTACATTTCTGATTTTATCAGTTAATCATATGTTGAGATTTTTTTTTTACCATTATAAGATTTTCATTCTGCCATTGGATGAAAACTGATAAAAGGATATCCAATTATACAATATTGTTATACAATGCCTTCACATAGAACCAGTGAAGATCAGAGGAAGGGAAGAGGACATGAGGCAGAATTCTAAGATAACCCTAGTGACCCATGGCCTTGTATAATTCCCTTCCCTGGGGTGGGGACAGGACCCGTGACTATGATGTGGTCTCACTTCCAAAGCAAATTCAACAAATAATTATTCAGCACCCAGAATATGTACTGTGCCATACATTGTGTTAAGAGTACAGTTAAATTAATTTTGAAAATTTTCCTAGTTAAATAGGAGAATATAACAACTCTCCCTCTCTCTCTCTCTCTCTCTCTCTCTCTCTTTTATCTGGCTCCTAGAATAGCAGCAGCAACACCTGTCATAAAGAGTCATCATATAGAAAACAGGGGAAGCACTGACTGAGAACTATTTTACATAAGAGAAGTAGATGTAAGGTGAGAAAGAACATTCTAATAATCAGAGCCTTTTGAACATGGAATGCACTGTTTATGAAACAGCAGCAGCCTCATCATTGTTTGTAGTCAAGGCTTGATAAACACAGGTGAGCTATCCTGTAAAGAGGGTTCCTAAATTTGCTAGAAGATTAGACTAGATGACCTTTAAGTTCCCTTTCAGCTCAAAGATGTGGGTTTATAATTCTTCCTAGACTGTAACTGAGAACCCAAAGCCTAGGTATTTAACAGCAATCATTTTTATGTATATATTTTTGTATATTATAGAAAGGTATAAAGTTTACTCTTTTTTCCCTCCACTTCGCAGGTACAAAGTTTAAAAACACCATAACTCATAGTTCTACCACCCAAATATAATAATTAATAACAGTTTAGTATGTTTCTTTTCATAAATTACAGAATGTTTTGTTTTCTCATAAAAGTTATAAGCATTAACTGGACATTTTCATTGTCTATGATGAAAAGTCTCTTAATATTAATTATCTGAAATGATAAAAATGTTTTGACTTATGATGGCAGTGAATTAATGACATTATTTAATTCCCAAAATATTTGTTCTGCTTTCTCTAGCCAATGTGAGTGATTTCATCTGGATGGTCTTTACAATGTGTAAATTAATATTAAAATGTATTGCAGACCAATATCAGTGGGAAAATTACAAATACCATCAAATTAGACATGGTCCCTTCCCTAAAAGCCTCATGGCAATTTTTTTAATCCAAATTGGAGGGGTCATGGGAAAGGATTACACATTAATTAATGCAATAAGAATAAGCTATAAAAGTCTTCCAGTTGCTGTGCAATGACTGTTTTCAAGAAGACAGAGGGAGCAATATATCTACTTTCATTAAGAAGCTCAAATTAAACTTGAATTTCCTTCTTTCCAAAGGTTGGTCTCTTATCTTTGTCTTATACTATACGCTGTGGGGAGAAAAATGGGATAGTCATTAATATATTTTGTCAGATTGTAATTTTATGATACAGCATTCTTACTGCCCAACCATATTAGCAAGCAAAAATTAAAAGGTATGGAAGTTTATTAATAAATTAATTAGCCAGTAGCCAGTACTAATAAATTAACTAGTGGCCAGTAGAAAAGGAGGGACATCTCTGCAGTGGAAACAGCACCTGTTTCCATGGAAACAAATTTTCATCAAGAAAGGACATGAATCTACATAATCACTACAAATGATTCAGCAAGACTAAGCACAATTTGCGTGTGTGTCTCTTAACCTCAGCCTTTAACTGTATCTGCACTATGCTCTCTCCCCTTTGGCTTGAGCCCTCAAAGACTGTGTCATCTTCTTTGCAGTCTCAGCAACAAGTGCAGTACCTGGTCCATAGTTAGGAATCCATAAGTGTTTGTTGAACAAGTAAATAAGCGGTAAATAAGTGCATGAATGTATAATATAAGGCTTGGAGGTACTATTAATAAATATTGATACATTCATAATAATTTTGAAAATGCAGTTTAAAAAAAAATCTCCCAGCTATTTTAATTAGCTTTTGTTAGATCATTAAAGAAGGGAGGGGAAAAAATCAATATGTTGAATTTTTTTTTTTTTTTTGCATTTATGGACTTTTCTAGAGTGTAATTAACATTGTGTCTACTTTCTCTGGTCTTATTTTCTTCTCAAACTACTGTGAAATGGCTTCTACCCCACTACTACATAGAAACTTCTCTGGCAAAGGTCAGAAATGACCACAACCTTGGTACATCTAATGGATCCATTTCAGTCCTTCTGTTACTGAACTCAGTGTGATTAGACTGCTTGTGGTTCTCCACATCCATTCTTCATTTTCTAACTTCCTCTTCCACTCACATCGTCTCCACTGTCCGGAATGTCACGGCATGTCGGGTGTGCGCACACACGCACACACATGTCCCCCTACCCTTCCTGATCTCTTACCTAGCCAACTCCGATTCCTTCGCCCTTAGGTCTCTGCACCTGTGTTGTTTCCCTGTGCTGTCTGCACACAGCACACATAGTATGAGGGTTCCATTGCATTTATCCACATATAGCCTAGGCATCATGCATTTGTGTTTCTCTCTCTGACTATACAGAGAACTTACGGGGGTAAGAAATCCTTGTTTATACATTTTTGTGTCCCTTATACCTATCACAGTCCCTGATTGGTAATCAATGCATTGGTGTTCTCATTGCTAATAATAATAATCAAAATTAGGACAACAAACTGTAGGTCCTTGTGACAGTAATTTTTGTTTAAATGGAGTGGATGGTAGTGCCAGAGCTCTCGATTTCTACAACCGGCAGAGACACCATGGCCAAGAAGCGGATCGCTGTGATCGGAGCTGGGATCAGTGGACTGGGTGCCATCAAGTGCTGCTTAGATGAAGATTTGGAGCCCATCTGCTTTGAAAGAAATGATGATATTGGAGGTCTCTGGAAATTTCACGTAAGCTTGGATTATGTTTGGTTTTAAGCATGTAACTTTTTAAAATCGCTGTAACAATTTGGATGGTGGTTTCCTCAGAGGGTACATACAGCACATTTTAAGAAATATGTAATGACCACAGTCTCCTTCCTTGCATTGCTGATTGACTGAGGAAATCTGTAAATATATGTCAATTTCATACCTAGGCATGACATTCATAGGATCCTATGCAGGGTAGCTGAGAGTCCATGTGGGCATCATAAATATTAGAAAGGAATAGTGGTTGAGGATTCTTTCCACTGATCAGATGATATTATGCCCAAGATTAGAGATATCATGTATATTTTACCTAACTTGGCCAGGTATAGGGCAGGGTAGGATGGTCTATTGCTGGGCTTCACCCATGCAGTCTCATACTCTCTTCTGTGCTCATAGCTGATAACTGGCTATCCCCTGCATGTTACATCTTTTGTCTTTTTTTTTTTTCTCTCAGCTCTTGGTAGCAAGAGATTTATTGCCCCGAGGGGATCAAGCTTGGTACCAACTGTGAACTGGCTTAAGTTCCTAGGTGTGCCCATCTTGTTTTGGTGCTTCACTCTGCTATCACTGGAAGTGCCCTGGAATTCCAGCACTTCCAAACAATATTTGCCAGTTCTGATAATCCCAGAGAGCCATTCTGCTCGCCAGTCATGGCTGGCATTGTCATGGGTATGCACCAATGAACTGATTTTCTTCTCTCGCTCCTGGCTCTCGTCCCTACCGAGGCCATGCTTGGGGAGCTAGAATGTGAGACCTCTCCATCCTTGTGGAGAGTGGGCTTGAGACAAGCTAATCGACATCACTGTCCTACAGGGACTTTCCTCTGGTGCGTCTGGAGCAAACCAGTGCCCAGGGCACATTCCTAGTAACTCTCAGATAAATTCTCCAACCTGCTGTTAGGGTCAATCAAATATCACTCTGTAACCTACAGGTTTTCCTATGTATTGCCTTAATTGACTTTCAGTTCTAAATATTCCATAATATCCATTTTGTTTCTTCTTTAATTCAAGAGTTCATTCATTCAACCAATATTCTTTGAGCTCTTACTCCATGTCAGGCACTTTTATAAGTGCCAGGAAATACATTAGCAAATACGAATACAAAAGTTCTAGCCTGGGGAGTTTACATTCTAATGGGGAAAGTGAATAAAATAAATAAATAGCATGGTTGATGGTAGCAAGCATAGCAGAGAAAAAATAAAGCAGAAGATGAGGAGAGTTGAAGAATACAATTTAAATAAAGGATCATGGATAGCTTCAATGAGAAGTGGGTTTTTTTGACAAAGAATTGAGATTGTAAGAAAGAAAACTAAGAGGTTATCTGGGGAAAAGGATTCAGAGGGATCTTCGAGGGCTAAGCCATGAGGTGAGAGCATGCCTTGCCTTTAGGGAGGAGCCAGCAGGCCAGTGTGGCTGGGTTGTAGTGACCAGGGGGAGAATTCTAGATGGCCAGAGGGGGAACAGGAGATCAGATCCTGTTAGTGTTTACTGGCCATGGTTAGGGCTTTGACTCTGATAGAGACTGAAATCCATTAGAGGGTGTTCAGCTGAGGAACAGTCTTCTTTGACTTGTGTTTTAAAAAGAACACCCTCATTGCTCTGTTGGGAATAGACCAAAGGGATGAATGGCTAAAGAAGTTTGTCGAATTTCAAAGCCACTCAATAATAATCGAGATGTGAGATCATAGTAAACTGTACCAGGATTCTAGATAGATTTAAAAAATATGTTATAATCTCTCATATGTGTTGATTTTTTTTCCTATTTCTTCTTTCATTTCTATTATAAATACAAAAGGTTTGTTGGTTAAGTGTTTAAAAGTTTATGTCTGTTATATCTTCTTAGTGGATAGTTTCTTTTATTAATATGAAAGATCTTTTTGTTTCTTTTATCTTGAATTATATTGTGTTGGCATTAAATATTACTAAAGTAGCTATCTTTTTGTTAGAACTTAAGAAGCATATTTTTTCCCATCACTTGATTTTTCCATTTACTGTGTCATTTTGTTTTAGGTTTATCTCCATAAAACCTGATTTTACTTTATTGTCTAATGTGAGACTTTCTGTCTTTTTTATTTTAAAAATTATGCTGAGATATAATGTATGCACTAAGGTACATAAAAGTAAGCAAATCTTAAGTGTACAATATAATTATGATACATTTATATATAAATATGTGTGCAACCACTATTCAGATCAAGATACAGAATATTTCTAGAATCTTAGAAAGTCCCTGTATGTTTCTTCCCAGCCAATACCCAGTCACCCCTAGAGGTAACCACTGTTTTGATTTCTATCACCATTAATTACTTTTGCTCATCCTTAGGATCATACCTTTATGTTCTTTTTGTATTGGTTTTTTCACCTATGTAGCTGAGATTCATTCAAATTGTGCATGTAGCAGTAGTTCATTTTTATTTTCTATTGATGCGTAGTATTCCAGTATATGAATATACTACAATGTATTCACTCATTTTGTTAGCTTAGTCCTGACTATTTAATGTTTTTTATGTTATTGTAAATTACAGCCATTACAGAAGTTTCACTTTTCAATTTGTTGCTAGTATATGAAACAATTAATTTGTATGTCAGCCTTATATCCAACAACCTTGCTAAATTCACTGTTGCTTCCTGTGTGGATTCTTTTGGATTTGCTATGTACATAATCCTGACTTCTATGCATAATAATCGCTTTTCTTCTCCCTTTCCAATAGTTATGACTTTTGTTTCTTTTTGTTCTTCGTTGCATGAGCTAGAGTCTCCAGAACAATGTTATGTAAAAGTGCTCATAGAAGACATCCTGTTCTTCCCAACCTCACTTTAGAGAGAAACTGTTCAGTTGTTTACCAATAAGCACGATGTTGGCTAAGGTTTTCATAGATTATGAAAATTTCCATCTATACAAAATTTATGGAGATTTTTTTTTAAATCATGGACATAAGTTTTATCAAATGATTTTTCTGCATCACCTGAGATCAATATATGCTTTCTCTTTTTGTTGTGTTAATGCAATGCATTTCATTGATTAATATTCAAATGATAAAGCAAATTTTCTTTCCTAGAAAAACCCTTCTTTGGTCATATTTTAAAAGTTTTACTTATTGATAGGTTAGATTCATAATTTTGGCTGATATTTCTAACTTGCTAGTATTCAAAATTTTACTAATATTTTTGTCTAACTTTATGAGAGACATTGTACTATAATTTTCCCTTTTTATAATGTCTATGTCAGGTTTGATATCAAGTTATTCTAACTCAAGTTTATGAAATGAGTTGAGAAATGTTCCTACTCTTCTATTTTCTTAAAAAATTTTTGTAGGAATGGTATTCTTTTCTTTTCATTACATGTTCAGAAGAATTCAACAGTGAAGCTAAGTCTGGAGTTTTCTTTGTAGAAGGGTTTTTTAATATCAAATTCAACAGATATAAGATTTTCAACTTTTAACTTTAACAGATACATTTTTCAAATTTTTTTTTCTTTTCATACTAGATTGATGAGTATTGTTTTTCAAGGAATTTGCTCACTGTTTTTTAAGTTGGCAGTTTTGGGGCTATTATGCAAAATATCCTCTTAAGATCTTTTTATTATATGCAGATTCCATAATGATGTTCAATTTTTATTCCTGATATGGATAATTTATATTTTCTCTTTTTTGGGGGGAGAGGGATCAATCCTGCTAGGGGTTTAACAATTTTATTAATCTTCTAAAAAATCAAGACTTAAGTTCATATCTTTCTTTATTGTACATCTAATTTATATTTCATTGATTTCTGCTCATATCTTTATTATTTTCTTTTTCTTTATTTTTGTGTTTATTTTACTGTTTATCTAGGTTCTTGATTTGGAGCTTAGACAATTGATTTGCAGCCTTTTCTTCTTATCTAACATATAAAGTTAAGCTATAAATTTTCCTCCAGTCACTGTTTTGCTTCACCCACAGGTTGAATGCATTATCTTTTCATTATTGGTCAGTTTAAAATATTTTTAATATTACTGTGATACATTCTTTGAGCCAAAGATTATTTAGATGTGTTGTTTAATTTCTAAACTATTGGGGGGTTTCTGGTTATCTTTCTCTTACTAATTTCTAATTTAATTCCATTGTTATTGGGCAATGTACTCTGACTTTCGTACTTTGAAATTTTTTAGACTTTTTTAATGGCCCATCATGTGGTTATATCAGAAAATATGTCATATGTACTGCAAAAGAATGTGTAGTTAAAATTGTGGGGTTTATATGTCTGTATATGTCAATTAAGCTAAGTTGTTTAATTGTGTTCTCCTATCTTCTATGCCGTTGCCAATATTCTATTGTTCTATCAGTTACTTAGTGAGATGAGTTAAATTCTTTAGCTATGAATATGAGTTTGTCTATGAATATGAGTTTCCTTTTAATTATGTTCATTTTTACTTTATGTATTTTTAACTGTTACTAAATGCATTTGAATTTAATATTTTTCTATCTTCCTGTAGAATTGACCTTTATATCATTATTATTTCTCCTTCTTTACCTCTAATTTTGCCGTGATATCTGATTTATCCTACTAACATAGCCACTCCAGTTGCCTTTTCAGTAGTGTTTTCATGATATATCTATATTTCAGCCTAATTTTGTCTTGTGTAAATAGCATAAAGAAGCTTTTGCTGGGTATTTTGATTTTTTGTTTTAATTGGAGTGCTTACATATAATGAAATATGAATATAATTGATTTTAATTAACTATCTTGCATGTTTTTATTTGTTTTATATCTTTGTTTTTCCTTTGGTCCTCATTTCTTTTTTCTTTTTGTTTTACTCATGTATTTTTTTATCTTTCTACTCTTCTTGTGCATTTTTTGGATAGCCATTTTTGCATTCTTATTAACAGTTATCCTTTTCTCTTTACTTAAATCCATGGTAAGAATGGTTATCTTTTTTTTTTTGAGACAGAGTCTCGCTTTGTTGCCCAGGCTAGAGTGAGTGCCATGGCGTCAGCCTAGCTCACAGCAACCTCAAACTCCTGGGCTCGAGCCATCCTTCTGCCTCAGCCTCCCAAGTAGCTGGGACTACAGGCATGCGCCACCATGCCCGGCTAATTTTTTCTCTATATATTAGTTGGCCAATTAATTTCTTTGTATTTTATAGTAGAGATGGGGTCTCACTCTTGCTCAGGCTGGTTTTGAACTCCTGACCTTGAGCAATCCGCCCTCCTCAGCCTCCCAAGAGCTAGGATTACAGGCGTGAGCCACCGCGCCCGGCTCGGTTATCTTTTTTAATTTGCAAACTTTAATATGCATTCTTGACTTCTTACTAATACTTTCTACCTTCTGTTTGTATTTTACCACTTTCTGAATAAAGCAAGAATCTTACAATAGCTTAAATCCATTTTCCCACCTTTGTGTTATCATGTATTTTACTTCTTAAGTATAAATTCCACAAGATATTATTATTAATGTTTTTAAACAGTTAACATTTTTATGTTTATCCACACATTTATTATTTCTAATTTTCACCCCTTCCTGTATGTGCATGCTTCCATTTTTATTAATTCCCATTCAGCCTGATGAAATTCCTTTCATATTTCTCATAATGTTGGGTTGCTGGCAATGAATTCTCGTAGTTTTTGTTTGTCTGAGTATGTGTTTATTTCATTTTCATTTTTGAAGGATACTTTCACTGGATATAGAAGGCTAGGTAAACATATTTTCATTTCGGCATTTTGAAGAAACCATTCCATTGTTTCTGGCTTGCATCCTTTCTATTGGGAAGTCAAACATATGCCTTATTGTTGATTCAATATAACTTTTTTCTCTAGCACATATGGGAGTGAGGGAGAAAATATTTACAGAGCAAATAAAAGGCAATGTAATGTTTTATTATTCCCGAGATTATTTTTCTTTAGTAGGATATTTTATTTTGATTCTCTTGTTATTGCAAGGTTTATGTCATTAAGAGAGGCTTTCTCCTGTAGAAAAATACTTCAGACAAAATGCCTAGTATCTACAAATCTGTGACCATCAACACTTCCAAGGAAATGATGTGCTTCAGTGACTTCCCTGTACCAGATCATTTTCCCAACTACATGCACAACTCCAGACTCATGGACTACTTCAGGATGTACACCAAACACTTTGGCCTCCTGAATTATATTCGTTTTAAGGTAAAAATCTAATTGATATATTGCATAATAAATATGTGTATATGTGTGTGTGGATGTTGGCAGACACACTCGTGCACACATAAGAATTATACTTGGCATCTTCTAGTGTGATCAGAGGGAGAGATCATTAGTGAGCTTCCACCCTAGAAAATCATCACTTAGGATGAAGTAATGTTTTGAGAATTCCACTTGACCGTAAGGCTGAAGAATTTTGCCCAACAGAACCTCTTCTAATCGTATTTTGGTATGGCATGGTAAGGGTCCTCTCTCTTAACCTTAAATTCAAAATGTTTAAAGACTTAGAATATTGGCAGTAGTAACCAAGCCGAATTATGTTGCCTGTATGCAGAACAAGAACCAGGGTCATATGAAGAACACAAGGAAGACTTTTTCAGACCCAGGTAGTTCCCACAAGCTATCTACCGCCACGGCCCCCAACTCACACATACAAAATCCATCCCTATAACCATCATTATAGAGAACATGACTTTGTCTCTGAAACTCAACAGCTAAGCCCAGGGAAGCTGGGCAGCTTTGTGCTGAAGTAAGAAAAACACTAGGAATACTATTTTCTTTCATGTGGAAGTCCTTCTGAAAGGAGAATATTTTTCCTGCGGCTTTAGCCACTCCTCTGCTTTTTCATGGTTACATCTCAACCGTTTCTATTTCTATAGAAAATTAGATTTCTAACGAAATGCCCATACTCCCTTGAAAATGCACACACAGCAAAGTCGCTGTGGGAGTACCCAGGAGCGGGAACCAAATGAGTGTAAATGTCTTAGTTGAGTTGTGTTGTTCAGATCTATGGAGTTTGGAGGAGAAGGGATTAAGACCAAGTTGATACAGATAGTGTATCATCTGTGTTGTGCCCTTATTTTCAGACCAAAGTGCGAAGTGTGAGGAAGCACCCAGATTTTCCTTTCAATGGACAATGGGATGTTGTTGTGGAGAATGATGGGAAACAAGAGACTTTGGTCTTTGATGGGGTCTTGGTCTGCAGTGGACATCACACAGACCCCTACCTACCACTTCAGTCCTTCCCAGGTATGTCACAAAGAATCTGTTTGGTAGAGAAGTTCTGTTCAGATACTTTCAGAGCAAAATGATTGAGCATAAATTTTATTACTAGAATGAATACAATTTCTCTGGTAATATTTAATAATAGACAACTACCTGTCCAACATTTATATAGACATGGTGACACTAACATACAAAAATAGTCAAAGACAACACTTCTTATTTTTTACTTACTATATTTTATATGATTTCTTTTTTTTTCAACTTGTAATATTTTATTAGCAGTTTCAGTTACTATACCAGTCTTCTTTGATAGGTTCTGCAAGAGAACTAAGTTCTACAAAAAATGATTAAGTGACTATTTTCTCTTTTTTTATCCAGGTGCTTATTTTATTTACTTTTTTAAATTTTAGCATATTAATTTCTAATAAATAACAAAAACTAGCCCACATTTAAATAGTTTTACTTTCATATCCATTCATCTGATCTCACTCACTTCAAGAGAAAGTGAAATTCATAAAAAATAAGGGACAAATGACAAGCAAAAAAGAAAATGCAAAAAGCTGGCAAGTCCACAAACTTAGAAATCTTGAAGTTTGGGACATGATCTCAAATAACATTAATTTATTGTGGATTTTCATTGGTTGATAAAAATAATTCAGCTATTGCTCCCTTTGAATTTTTTTGAGTAAAATGGTTCACATTTCAAAGGAGACTATTAGTTAGGGGAAAAAAACCTCCCAGCTCCGCTCACTAGAGCCTCACTCCTTACTCCTGTTCATTTTACTTCCCTTTCAATCAATTGCAATCAGGAGTTAATCAAGATTCTTGATATGTCAGTGCCTTTCCATGATGCCTGACAAGCCATCATAAGAAATACTTCGGGAGTGGACACAAACCGAAAATAGAAGAGTCCTAGTTGGAAATCAAGGGATTTAAACTTGATTTTGGTGTCCAACTCACTAGCTGAGTTATGTATAACAAATGCCAAACCTTCCTGTGTCTACATACCAACACAATCATGTTTTAAATAAAAGTACTTGATCTTCTGAATGTTAAAGTGCAATATATTCTGGAAATCATTATACAATTATTATGTAATTATCTCAATTAATTAAAATTACATTAATAACTGTCATATATGTATCAGCTTCTTTTTTACTTGCTTCTTGGCTGAGAGACACTCCCTATAGACAGACATGCTGGAAATGCATTTGGGTAAGTTTCAGGGGAGAAAGAAACATAACTAAATCCAAAAGGAGATGATGTCTGAGAATGCAAGACACAGAGTGGGGGCCACTATGAAGCCCTCAGCAGAACCAGGGGCAGCATGAGGCATTAGGGACTTGGAAGACAGAGGAGTTGTCAAATTGATGAAGAAAGGCCCTATATCTGCTTAGAGAATAGTAAAACAAACAAAAAAAAAAACCAACAACCAGTTCCTGCTTCATTATTTTGCTTAAGACTGCATAGGACAATGGCATAATGAATAAAAGTAGATTATCCTGAAATTGTTGTAAAATTTTCATTTTGGATAAGTCCATGACAGTTAGACTTACCAAATACTTTGTAAGGTCACTAGTCCAAATTTAGAATCCACATTAATCCAAATTTAATTCTAAATTTATTCCGTCTTTCCCCGAGCACTGTGAAATATAAAATTGCATTCTTAAGACAAAATACAATATCAAAGTTTGCTGACCCAGACTCAAATCTTGCTCTTTCACATTACTGAGAACATAACTTCTGTGTGTTGAGTTAGCACTGTAAAAGCTACTCCTTATGATGAGAAATTCTCTTTGTCCGCCAGGCATTGAGAAGTTTGAAGGCTGTTATTTCCACAGTCGGGAATACAAAAGTCCCGAAGACTTTTTAGGAAAAAGAATCATAGTGGTTGGCACTGGGAATTCCGGAGTGGATATTGCAGTGGAGCTCAGTCGTGTAGCAAAACAGGTTTGTTTGTTTTCAACAACTTCACTAATAAAAACACAGCTTTCACTAATGGTAACCTGTGCATTTTAGGGGGGTGCCATCCAGAATGTAGGTTTGTTCTGTAAGGGGCCAGAAAAGAAAGTGAAATCTATGGGCCCCTGGCCTCAAGGTGTTTAAATTCATGGGGAGCAGAGGATATATGCACAATGTGAACGAATTACTATTAACTGAGCTAATTGAGTAAAACATTAGCACAGACAAAACAAAATGTTAGATAATTAATCTGACTTTTCTCACTACCACAATAGCACCTGGGTCCTGAAATAGACTTCAAGTAGCAGTAATGGCAAAAAGTCATTGGTACAGATACCCAGCACTGGAAAAAAAAAACAAGAAAAACAAACAAACAAACAAAAAGTCATTGGGAGTCTACCTGTGATCAGTAGATCTTGGTGGTAGAATTAAAGAACAGGAAAAGGAAGAGAATCAATGACGATGACAGCTATATGATCCTCCTTAAATGTATCTATAATGATGAGGGAAGATATAAAGAAATAATAAATTCTGCTTCAGGCATATTTCATTTCATACAAAAGCAATTTATCCAATAACTTCATTTATGCTTTATTTATTCTTTCTTCTCTTGAAAAATTAATAATGATCTGCATTTAGAAGAAAATGAGATAACATTTTGCATTCAGGATTGTTGACCACGTTTAATCAAATCTTAATCAATAGAGAACCCAACCTACTAGGCTATTCAGATATCTTGATTATTGTTATTTATTTTTAACTTATTTATCTTTATTTGTTATCATTTATCATCAGTTTTTAAGAGAAATTATTACCGAGCCAGTTACTAAGAGTTTAGTGTTTTTAAAAAAAAATTTAATAAAAATTTCAAGAGGTAAATACGTGGACACTAGCACCCATCTAACCTATCTTGTATTTCAGAGTTGATCAGTAAGAACTAAGATTCAACATCCTCAAGATTGTAAAAGCACCAATAATCAAATAAACAATTCAATACATTTTCTAATTGTATCAGAATGCAGAAAAGTTTATGAATATATTACAGAAAGATTTGCAAAGTCATTCTAGTTACATTCAGTTAACCAAAACACTAGTCCTGAACAATATGCTTGGTTAAAGTTTTTAATGTACATTTTTATTTTGATGCAAACAATACAGTAGAAGTATATGATAGTAAATATGACACTTCACTTCTGAATTCAAATCCCTATTTATATATGAAGTATAGCTATGTCAATATCCAGGAATTTTTTTAAAAAGAGTTATTCAGAAACATACACACTAGTGAATAAAGTTTTCTGTTTTCATTCAGAAATTTGGTGTCATAGATGCAGCCTCTTTCTGGAAATCAGCAGGCAGCTCTGGTAAAGCCTGGTGACCACTGCATAGTGTTTTACCTCCTAATCCTCAGAAGCCAACACTCTTGAAACTTGGCGATGAGTAAAATGTGAATAAAATAATTTATGTAAAATATCCTCTCTTTCCTTCACTGGTTTGCTCTATCTCTGTCTCCCTCAGGTATTCCTCAGTACTAGACGAGGATCGTGGATTCTACACCGTGTTTGGCATAATGGGTATCCCATGGATACTTCATTTTTCACTCGGTTTAATAGTTTTCTCCAGAAAATATTAACGACAGCACAAATAAATAACCAACTGGAAAAGATACTGAACTCCAGATTCAATCATGCACACTACGGCCTTCAGCCTCAGCACAGGTGATGACCAAAGGGTCTTAATTTGTGTAATTATGTGTGTGTGTAAATAGGAAGTTGCCATAAAGACAGCTTCTGGCATTTAACATTTAGTTTGGCCAATTAATCTTACATATTCATTAATATATAGCAACTATATTATATACATATATAACGCATTTTGTAGCACATGAATGTGCTTGCTTCCTGATGCCATTGACTCACTCTCATTCATTCAGCAGTCATTTAATATTTAATTGCTGTGTGCCATGTACAAAAATAAATACAGGACTCCTCCCTTCAACCACGCTTCAAGTCTAGAGAAGCAAGGACGCGAAACAGATTAGAGCAAGGAAATGTGATTAATGCTGTGACAGCTGGTGGTGTGGGGTGCAGTGAAGCTCAAACTGGGACTCAGTAATTTTCACTGAAGTTGGGGGAAAAATGTCTGAAAAGACAACATGTTAGGGAAGAATCCTAATGTCCCTTCCTCACTGTGCGCACCTCTTTGATTCCAGGTCTGTCCCATGGAGGTTTCTTGGTTCAGAGACTATCTGAAGCTTCTGGTGAAAAAGCAAAAGATAGAAGTGGAAAATAATACTAAGCTGAGTTAAGAAAAGGGGGAAAAAATGGAATGAAAAAATAACATTTAAAAGAGTAAAAGTATCGACCAAAGTATCAACCTAAGGAATAATGCTCTGAGATTATAAAACAATAATTGTTTTTCTCATATGAGTACTTAATTGTCTCAAAAGGCAATTCTGAAAGAGAGATTCCTGAAATGTTTCAGTGAATAAGACAAAGCAATGTGGCATTTATTGATTCATTCATTAAAAATATTTAATGAGCATCTACCATGCTGTGGATGCAGAACAATATTGCATTCTACTTGAGAGAGATGGATGATTTTTAAAACTACAGAATGTAATGAGAATTAAAAAGGAAATGAGTAGGATCATGTCATAAAGAGCAAGTGGGGGAAGGGAGTAGAATTTAACGGAATGATGTAGAAGGCATTTCTGAGGGGGTGATGTTTAAACTAAGACTTGAAGGACAAAAAGGATCCACAATAAAAAGAGTCAGGAGAAAAGGATTCAGAAAGATCTGCCACTACCAAATTCTTCAGGTAGAAAGGGGCTTGGCGCAAGCTGAGGAGCAGAAAGGAAACCAGTGTGATCAGAACAAAATCAGTGAGGGGAAAATACTATTCAAGAAGCAAAGAGGCTGGAGCCAGGTCACATATTCCTGGGCTGTTGGGGCAAAGTTTACATTTTATCCTTTTTTAAATTTGTGTATATTTAAGATGTACAATATTGTGTTTTGATATACATATGCATAGTAAAATGGTTACTATAGTCAGGCAATTAGCATAGACATCATCACACAGAGTTACTCGTGTGTGTGTGTGTGTGTGTGTGTGTGTGTGTGTGTGTGTGTGTGGATGGGTGGCAAGAGCTCCTAACGTGTACTCTTTCAGCAAAAATCACTGATACAGTACAATACTATTAGCTATTGGCCTCTTGTTGTACATTAGCTCTCCAGACTTGGTCGTTCTGCATATTTGCCACTTTGTATCCTTTAACCTATATCTTCCCCACCCCTCCCTGGTAACCACCATTTTATTCTCTACCTCTTTGAATTTGACTTTTTTTTTTTAGATACCACATATAAGTGAGATCATGAAGCATTTTTCTTTCTGTGTGTGTCTTATTTCACTTAGAATAGGATCCTCCAGGCTCATAGACACTGTGGGAAATGATAGGATCTCCCTCTTTTCTTTTTTAATGCTGAATAATATTCATATATATATATACATATATCTCACAACTTTTTTATCTATTTGCCTATCAATGGACACTTCAGTTGTGACTATATTTTGGCTATTGTGAATAATGCTTCAATGAACATGGAGTTCACATATTATTACGAGTTCGTGATTTCATTTCTTTCGGGCATATACCTAGAAGAAGGAGTGAGTGCTGGTTCACGTGGTAATTTTATGTTTAATTTTTTTAGGAACCCCCACACTGCTTTCCACAGTGGCTACACCAATCTACATCCCCACTAAGAGTGTTCAAAGTTCCCCTTTTCTCCACTCCCTTGCCAATTGTCTTTGTGATATCAGCCATGCTAATGGGTGTGAGCTAATAACTCATGTGGTGCTGATTTGCATTCCCTAATGGTTACTGATGTTAATGATTAGTGATGTTTTCGTATAGAACAGAGACTAATCATTAAGTATTTTAAGCATGAGAGGGTCACGATTTGATGCACAATTTTAAAGGATCACTCGGGCTGCTGTGTGGAAAGTGGCAAACCTGGAGAATGGGGGTGGGATCAAAAGGAAAAGCAGTGGCCTAGGACAGTGATTAAATTGGCTTGGGTTAGTATGATAGAAGTAGACAGAAAGTGGATAGATTCAGGATAGGCTTCAAAGATGGAACTTAAAGTGTTTGCTGATGGATGGAACGTGGAAGGAAAGTGTAAGAAATGAAGAAATCAAGACCGTCTAGGCTTTTTACTTGAACTATTGGGCTGATGAAGCAGCCATTTACTATGACAAAGATGGGAAGCAATCCCGAGGAAGAATAGGCTAGGAGGTGAAAACTGGGAGTTCTGTTTGGATCACGTTAGGTTTGATGTAGCTTTGAGGACATCAGAGGGTTGTAAGTCCCAGCAGGGAGCGGACTGTGTGGGCCTGGAACTTAAAGGAGCGGTCTGAGCTTGTCATATAAATAATTATTTTTATTTCAGAATGTTACAGGGGTACAAATGTTTAGGTTACATATATTGCCCTTGCCCCAAGTGAGTCAGAGCTTCAAGTGTGTCCATCCCCCAGATGGTGCACACCATACCCATTAGGTGTGAATATACCCATCCCCTCCTCCCCTCTCCCATCTGCCTGACACCCGATGAATGTTACTACTATATGTGCACTTAGGTGTCGATCAGTTAAAACCAATTTGGTGGTGAGTACATGTGGCTCTTGTTTCTCCATTCTTGGGATACTTCACTTAGAATGGGCTCCAGCTCTATCCAGGATAACACAAGAGGTGCTAGATCACCATTGTTTTTTGTGGCCGAGTAGCACTTAACTAAATAACTTCTATTAACCACTTTGGTACAGCGCTCACCGGCCAAGAAACCTTGCCCACAGCCGGCACTCATAGTCCCCACGATAGTCTGTGCTGTGCATTGACGACGAATCCATTTTGCTCTTGTGTGATGTGGAAAGCTTTAAAGCACTAAAAGCTTGTTTTACTTTACAGGCAGCTTTAGGAAAATAAGTATACTAACTCCTACTAAGGACTTGTTAAAAGGTCACAGATTTGTAGTAACTTATTAGCTGAATGTACACATTGCAACTGCAGAGATAAAAGCTGTAAAAGTAAAAGCTTTTGGCTGTCGACTAAAGTCGATGCTGGGCTGTGCGCCTTCATATCACGGTTGTCGGCTAAAGTCGACGCTCGACTGTGTGCATTCATCTGTGGCTGTGGACCATAGTGGGTGCTGGTACCGAAGTGGTTAAGTTCACTGTAACACATTTACATGACTATTGCAGTCTATTCTTTCAGAATCTTTAATTACAGGAAAACACAGAAAGGAAGATTCTGGTAGCAGAAAACCATATATATGATCCCCTTTCCCTCCCATCCTAACTCTCTATTTTTGTCCCCTGAGCCAGACAGTTGCTTGAGCCTAAGAGCAGCAGGAGTCAATTAGGCTGTGGGCTCTATGCTGTCTTCCCCGTGGGTCAGACAAGTGCCTGGAGACCAGCTTCAGCGATCTCCAAAGTAGGACAGGAGAGTGGCAGATCCTAGACAGAACTTGGTGTGGGACTCTTTAGTGAAAGTCAACATCAGCCCTTCATGACAAATGCCTAGCCCTAGCACTGAGTCAAAGAAGAAAGGTGAGTGAGGAGGCTGAGTCCTCCCTGAGGTCATGGATGTCCTAGTAGTGAGGGGACAAGAAGGCTTTGTTCAGGTACCTCCATAAAAGAAGGGCTGCCTGCCAGTTTCTATATCTTGGGCTCATACAAGTGGTCTACTTCCCTTTTTACCACCTATACAGCATCCACCACAAGGGGCATTCTAATAACCAGACATCAGCGCCAATAAGCTGTCAAAGAAAAATACTATCCCTTATGAATGAATGAATATCCAGGGAGAAGAAGATAAAACCCAGAACACATGCCTATGGAAAAAGAGAAAGAAAGAGAAGTCAATTTGCTTAAAAATATGAAACTATCTTAAGGAAATTCAAGTGCCACATGAAATATTCTTTGGAGTTTAAAAATTTTCATTTGTCAACTAAAGACAACAGTAGATGGACTGAAGGAAAAACATAGTTACTAGTTAGATTAAGAGAGATTAGAACAGATGGAAGAGACACAATATTTAAATAACAGAAGAAAATTTTTCAGATTGAAAAGAGACCACCGAACTTTAGGATGGATTTTTGAAAACACACACCAATATACCCTCTCACACATGCATACCCTTATGTAGAGTTCCTCAGTTTCCCTCGCTTTTTTCTCTGTCCTGACCAAGAAATATTGACCAGCTGCGTGTTCTTCCCTGGAGGATTAAACCCAAGCTTTGACCTTGACCATTCCCAGGCTTGCATAAAGGTGTTTAGGTTGTTGCCCCAAACACTGAAAGAAACTAGCCCAGCCATAAGCCAAATCCCTTAGAGACCCCAATAAACTTTATCACCTGACTCCCTCCTTGAGAACAGACCTACATAGAACATTCCTTGTCTTGTTGGCCGCCAGGATTCACTGCAGCCTCCTCTGTATGTCAGTTCCCCTAGTAAGTGCTTTCAGCTGATCTCCCTGACATTTCGTGCTTTTTTTTTTTTAGAATCCCAACCAGTCCTATCTCAGAACAGTTTGGAGTTTTCCCTTGTGGTAATCCCCCAGCCACACTAAAAGAAAGATAGATGTAATAGATAGGTAGATAGATAGATAGATAGATAGATAGATAGATAGATAGATAGATCGATCGATCGATTGATCGATCGATCGAATCTGGGATTGTGTAATGTGAGTGCTAAGACTTTTCTAACAAAGGGAGTGTATCATAAGGAAAATCCTAATAAATGTGCTAAACTCTCAGCTAACTCAAGGAGTGAAGAGGGAAGAAAAGAGAGCAGATGAATGACTTGACGAAAGCTATACTTCAGAAAATTAATCTATCTGGTGGAATAAAAAACAAGGGCCAGAGATTCTCCTAACTATTATGAGTTTTTGTGTTTGTAAGAACTCTTTGTCTATTGTAGAAACCAACACATTTTTAAATCATCAGTGTTCATTTTTTTTCTGATCATATCATTTTCCCATTGATTTAGTTTATGCTACCTTTTTAATATGTGAAACCCTTACACTTTCAGTACGTTTATATGTCCGTGACTTCTGTTGTAATCTCTGCATTTTTAAACTAAATTAAGAAAGTCTTTCTAACCTCAAAATTGTAAAAGTAGTCTCCAAGGTTTACTTCCAAGATTCTTACTTTTGAAATTTTTTGAATTCAAGTCTTCAATCAATTAAGAGTTTAATTTCAATATAGTGATTATAAGAGTCTAATTTTATTTATATACATATACTCTCTCTTTACCCTCAGACTAAGTCCAAACTAGTGGCCCTGCATTTTATCTACACTCATTCCTTTAATTAACATTTTTAAAGCCAAACTTAGCTCCACACCATTTTCTATATATATTTGGCTTTTCTATATCTATATCTTTGTTCACGCCTTTCCCTCTACCACATTTTCAGTCCAAATCGTATCTATTGATAACAGACCCCCTTGGTGTTTACCAAGTAGCTCCTCTTTCCTTTCAGCAGAAGATTGGACACAGTGTTCATGTGACACAGCTTTGTGCAGGTAGAGTAAGTGGCAGTCCACTGGATAGAGTTTCTGAGAAGGCTAATGCTCCCAGCATAAAGCTTCACACTTCTCTTTTTCTCATTTCTCCTCTTTGGAACATGGATTCAATGCCTGGAGGCAGAGTTATTGAGGACAATTTAGCCATTTAACAAACATTTGAATGGATACTTGTGTCAGGTAACTTTCCAGCTAATTCTTCTACAAATGTATTAATATCTAACGTGGAGATTGATTTAGCCTACAGATGATAATCATCCGGTGGAAAACAAGGTGGAGAGAGGCTAATAATAATCTATGACTTGTTTTCAAACGACAATCCATAGTCATGTATCATTTTTTCCTCAATTCTAAGTAGTTTAAAGTATTTTAACATCAAAAAAAAAGAAACATGGCACAGGATGCAAGATATACACAAGTTTTCAAGACAAAACAGAAGAGTCGAAAAATACAGAGCTGAGATAGCCACTGAAGCACTCGGGGCACAAAATTACTTCCCTTTGCCATTACAGGCCAAAAGTTGAATAAGCACAGAGTTAGGGCAAAAATGCAAAGTGTTGCCTTCAATCCCTTCTCATATGCATTATTTCCTTTTTGTATATTTGCTTACTCAGGATTTCTGTTTTTACATACAGACCTTTAAGTCAGCATCCAACTGTCAGTGATGACCTGCCAAATCACATAATTTCTGGAAAAGTCCAGGTGAAGCCCAACGTGAAGGAATTCACAGAAACAGATGCCATTTTTGATGATGGCACTGTCGAGGAGAATATTGATGTTGTCATCTTTGCTACAGGATACAGTTTCTCTTTTCCTTTCCTGGATGGTCTGATCAAAGTTACTAATAATGAAGTGTCCCTGTACAAGCTTATGTTCCCTCCTGACCTGGAGAAGCCAACACTGGCCATCATTGGTCTTATCCAGCCACTGGGTATCATCCTACCTATTGCAGAACTTCAGTCTCGCTGGGCTACACGTGTGTTCAAAGGTGTGTGGATAAATGTTGGAGAAAGCCTGATATTTCACCTAAAGTTTGTCCTCAGTTTCTTCTTGACACTAGTTCTATCCTTTCAACAAATTGTTCCCCTCTTATTTCTAGGAATCCTGATAGACTCTGAATTCTCTCTTCCAGGGCTAAGCAAATTACCCTCAATGAAGAACATGATGACAGATATTGCCAAGAAGAAGAAGGCCATGGAAAAACAGTAAATAAATAGTAACAACTAATTATTGGAGACCTTAGTAGGGATCACGGAATTCTTAATCTGGGATGCTAAGCCTGTGTTTCATCTTAATTATGTGGCCATTTTTTTTTCTCCTTTTCCTACACTATCTTGTTACGCAACTCCTAAACAAGCAGGAATCTTGGTCCCCTGGCTCAGTTATGCAACAAATAACTGAGCACTTCTATTACATGAACTGAGCAGTTTTTTCATGTTGTGAGATCTTCCCCCTAACAGAGTCTACAGAGCTCACATCTGAGTACTGAATGCTTGTTTTAGATACTGTTACATAAGAAGAAACAACAGTGTTGTCATTTTATATTGCCCTCCATTTGCCTTGTGCATAATCCTGTTGGAAATGCTGCAATATGCCTGCCATAGTAGGCACAAAGTAAATATTTAATCAATTCACTCCTCCCAAATATTGATGAGAATGCACCTGGAAGTTTTTTCAATCCGGAGTTTTCTCTGTTACAAAGTTTGTAAACTTTGTGTTTATTCTCTTTAAATCATACTACGTCTCTGAAATATAGCCCTCAACTTCAACCTCAGTCATTATGGGATTTTCTCTCAAGATCTCACCATAATCCAGGAAGCTTGTGTGGTTTCCCAAAATGTAGGAGCAGTCTCTGATTTTCACCACATCCTGTTCCTTACTGACATCGGCATTGCCTGAGTCTAAAGTGCACCCTTAAAGTCTGGAGGCTTTTGGCTTCCCTGTCATGAGTAGGGTAGGAGAAATGTCCTCCTCCCACTGCCAGAGGCTGTGAGTCCTCCACACTCTTCTCTTTTGTTTCAGGTATGTGAAGACACCCCGCCACACAATCCAAGTGGATCACGTTGAGTACATGGATGAGATCGCCACCCTGGCAGGGGTGAAGCCCAACCTACTGTTCCTCTTTCTCTCAGATCCAAAGCTGGCCATGGAGGTTTTCTTTGGTCCCTGCACCCCATACCAGTACCGCCTGCAGGGGCCAGGGAAATGGGATGGGGCCCGGAGAGCTATCCTGACCCAGAGAGAGAGGATTCTCAAGCCTCTGAAGACTCGAATTCCTAATGAGGACAGTCACTCATCCTCACAGCTCTCCTGGATAAAGATGGCACCAGTGGGCCTGGCATTTCTGGCTGCTGGCTTAGCATACTTTAGATATATTCATCGTAGTAAGAGGAAATGAATGAATATTGATGACAAAAAGCATGGAAGAGTTTCTACTCAATTTGGATCACTATATGACTTATTTTTTATACAATAACATATGTCCAATATTATCTAGTACTACTATAACTACTATAGTAAATGTTTACATAGGCTTTACACATAGATTTATTCCTTTAAAAATGGGTATACATCATATTTCTATATAAAACACTATGAATCCACAAGAAAAGTTTATCATTAAAAGCAATCATGTTTAAGCCTTCAGAATGTTTTTGCAACATAAAGTGTACCTGAATTGTACACTTGAAGCTGGATTATCCTTATAGGAATTGATAAATAAGGTTTTACTTTATCACTGAATTTATTTTCAACCTTATCCATTCTTCCTTTCAATTTCTCACTCAGACATAAAAGTTTTAGTGTACAGCATCAAAGTTAAAAGACACAGGTTAAAATATTCTAGGTTGTGATTTACTAGAAACAAAAAAAATGCCTTTTTTTTTTTAAAGACCAAGACTATATTGATACCCAAGTAACAAATACAGCTGCATGCTGGCTGGCTTGATCACTTTGCCTGGCTTTTGGAGTGGTCTTCCTCCTATGTGAGACAGTTGATGTCTTCACTGGTTTTATTTTGGGGATGTCTTCTCTGCCCCAAATGTCTTTTCCTCCCACTGACTATGTGAAATTCTTCCAAGCCTCTAATTCTGTTATTTAGCTAATGGATATTCTCTGTGTCCCCAGCTAGAATCAAAACCACATTGGAATGAGAATGTAAAACTGAGTGTGGTGAGGGATGAGGATTGAGCAGGTTGCAAGCTGTAGCACTAGGAATAAACATCAGTAAGATATCCTAAAAACATCATAAAAAATTTACATATTTACTAAAAAAATTTGGGAAAACATAAAATTACCAAATATTCAAATTATCAGTATCCCTGAGGGCAAAGAGAGAATAAAAGGATTAGAAAGCCTACTTGATAAAATAACAGATGAAAATTTCCCAAATCTAGCGAGAGATTTAGATGTCCAGATATGGGAAGCTCGGCAATCCCCTTTGTACAATGCAAAAATGTCTTCTCCATAGTATATTATAGACAGACTGCCCAAAGTCAAAGATAAAGAGTGATTCTTAAAAACAGCAAGAGAAAAGCATCTAGTCACCTGTAAAGAAATTCCATCAGACTAATAGTGTATTCACAGTAGAAATTTCACAGGCCAGAAGAGAATGGTATAATATATTCAAAGTGCTGAAACAAAAAAAGAAAGCCCTGCCACTCAAGAATACTATATCCAGAAAAATTATCTTTCATAAACGAAGGAGAAATAAAGTCTTTCCCAGACAAGAAAATGCTGAGGAAATTTGTTATCATTAGACCAACCCAACAAGAAATGCTCAAAGGATTTCTAAACCTGGAAACAAAAAAGGGACATTTACCATCAAGAAAACACACAAAAGTATAAAACTCACTGGTAAAGCAAGCACACAAAGGAGGAAGAGAAAGGACTGAAATGGTACCACTACAGAAATCCACCAAACCACAACGACAAACAATAAGAGAAAAAGAAAGGAAGGAGGAATATATACTACAACCAGAAAACAATTAACAACATGTCAGGAACAAAGACTCACATATCAATAATAATATTAAATGTAAATGGATAGAATTCTGCACTTGAAAGATGGAGAATGGAATGGCTGAATGGATTTAAAAAAAAAAGATCCAGTGCTCATGTCAGCAGCAAATATACTGAAATTGGAATGATACAAAGACTAACATGGGCCCTGTGCAAGGATGACAATTCAAGGATGAAAATTTATGAAGCATTACATATTTTTCATCAGAGTGGCCAAAGTCAAGAAGAAGAAGGCACTCCTGTGAGCTGTGAGGTGAAAACATCAATTACAAAGGAAAACCCATCAGACTAATAGAAGACTTCTCAAGAGAAACCTTACATGCTAGAAGGGATTGGGGATCTTATCTTTGGTCTTTTAAAACAGAATAAATGTCAGCCAAGAATTTTGTATCCTTCAAAACTAAGTTTCATAACTGAAGGAGAAATAAATTCTTTACCAGACAAGCAACTACTAAGGGAAATTGTGATTATTAGACCTCCCCTACAATAAATGCTTAAAGTGCTCTCAAAATTGAAAAGAACAGTCAGTACTCACCAGTGTAAAACACTCAAAAATAAAAACTTACAGCTCTTATAAAACAGTAACACAAGGGAGAATATAAATCAACTGATAACAATCAACAGGATAAGTAGAACAGTATCTCACTTATCAATATTAACAGTAAACATAAATAGCCTAAATGCCCCACTTCAAAGATATAGATTGACATAATGGTTTAAAAAAAACAACTCAAATATTGACTCTCTTCAAGAAAACCATTTAACTCATAAAGATTCTCATAGACTCAAGGCAAATGGGTGGAAAACAATATTACATGCAAATAGAAACCAAAATAGAGCAGAAGTAGATATTCCTATATCAGATAAAACAGATTTTAAATCAACAACAGTAAGAAGAGACAAAGACGGTCATTAGATGATGATAAAGGGATCAATTCAACAAGAAGGTGTAACAATCCCAAATATATATATATATACATAAAACCAGAGCTCCCAGATTCATGAAACAAATATGATTAGACATAAGAAAAGAAATAAATAGCAATACAGTAATGGTGGGAGATTTCAATACTCCACTAACAGAGCTAGACAGATCATTGAGACAAAAAGCCAACAAAGAAACTCTAGACTACAACAAATTGAGCTAACAGACATGTAAATAAAACATTCGTCCCAAAAATTGCAGAGTATACATTCTTCTCATCAGCACATGACACATTGTCCAAGATAGACATATGTTAGGCCATAAAACAGGTCTCAGCAAATTGTACAAAATCAAAATCTGTATATTCTCAGGCCATATTGGAATAAAACTAGGAATCAATTCCAAGAGGAACTCTCAAAACTATACAAATACATTCATATTAACCTGCTCCTGAATAATTTTGGGGGTCAATGACAAAATCAAGATGGAAATCAAAACATTTTTCAATTGAATGACAATGATGAGATAAGCTATCAAATCTCTTGGATACAGCAAAAGTAGTGTTAACAGGTAAATTTATAGCACTTAATTTCAACATGAAAAAGATTAAAGGATTACAAATTAACAACCTAATATCACACTACAAGGAAATAGAAAACAAGAACAAAGCAAGCTCAAAGCTAACTGAAGATAAGAAATAACAAAGATCAGCACAGGATTAAATGAAATTGAAAACAAAAATACAATACAAAGGATCAGTGAAACAAAAATTTTAAAAGTTAAACAAAACCTATAGATCACTAGCTAGATTAACCAAGAAATTAAGAGGGAGAATATAAATAAACTCAATCAGAAATGAAAAAGGAGATATTACAACTGATACCACAGAAATATAAAAGATCATTGAAAAATACTACAAACACCTCTATGCACATAAATCAAAAAGTTTAGAGGAAATGGATAAATTTTTGGAGACACACAATCCCCCAAGATTGAACCAGGAAAAAATAGAAATCTTCAACAGACCAATACCGAATAGCAAAATTGATTCAGTAATAAGAAATTTCCGCAAAAAAAAAAAAAAAAAAAAAAAACAGGCTCAGATAGATTCACAGCCAAATTTCAGATTTATAAAGAAGAACTGGTACCTACCCTACTGAAACTCTTCCATTAATGAAACTCTTCCATAACATCAAAAAGAGAGAGAGAAAGAGAGATAATCCTCCCTAATTCATTCTACAAAATTATCACCCTAATTCCAACACCAGGAAAGAACACAACAAAAAAAGAAAACTACAGACCTATATTTTTGATGAACATAGATGCAAAAATCCTCAAGAAACACTGGAAAACTGAATCCAAAAGCTCATCAAAATGATAATTCACCATGATCAAGTGAGTTTCAACACAGGGATGCAAGGATAGTTCAACATATGCAAGTCAATCAATGTGATGTATTAATACCACTATTAAAGCCATACATGAAAGATGCATTGCTATTATCATACTGAATTGGGGAAAATCTGAAAGCCTTTCCTCAAAGATCTGGAGTAAGACAAGAATGCTCACTTTCACCATTATTATTAAACATAGTACTGGAAGTTCTAGCTAAAGCAATTAGACAAGAGAAAGAAATAAAGGGCATTCTAATTGGAAAGGAAGAAGTCATTATCTGTGTTTGCAAATGCTAAGATTTTATATCTAGAGAAACATAAAGACTCCACAAAAAAAAAAATGATTGAGCTGATAAATAAATTCAGTAAAGTTGCAAGATACAAAATTAACATACAAAAATCAGTAGTATTTCTATATACCAAGAGTAAGCAATCTGAAAATAAAACCAAGAAAATCCCATTTGCAATAGATACAAATAAAATAAAATATCTAGGAATAAACTTAATCAAAAAAATGAAATATCTCTATAACAAAAACTATAAAATATTGATGACAGAAATTGAAGATGGCACAAAATGATGGAAAAATTTTCACACTGATGGATTAAAAGAATCAATATTATTAAAATATACATACTACTTAAAGCAATCTACAGATTCAATGCAATCCCCATCAAAAGACCAATGACATTCTTCACAGAAATAGAAAAAATAATCCTAAAATGTATATAGAACCATAAAAGATCGACAATAGCCAAAGGCATCCTGAGCTATATAAATAAATAAATAAAGCTGAAAGAATCAAGTTACCTGACTTCAAATTATACTACAGAACTGTAATAACCAAAACAGCATGGTACTGGCATAAAAACAGACACACAGATCCATGGAACAGAATACAGAACCCAGAAATAAATCCACACATATATCATGAACTTATCTTCAACAAAGTTGCCAAGAACATACAATAGGGAAAGGATGGTCTGTTCAATAAATTGTGTTAGGAAAACTGGATATCCATAGACAGAAGCATGAAATTAGACCCTTATCTCTCACCAT